GGGACCCAATGGACTTTCCTCTCCAATGGCACGGGCCTTTTACTTCCATTTCAGCACAGTGCTGTCACCTTTCTCTGAGAATACAGGACATGAATGGGTCCAGTGATTCCATCCTGCATAAACAATGCCCATACCCCCATGCTTACCTGACTCAGTGTAAATAACAGGTTAAGGGCTGGGGGATGGTTTTAGCTGCCACCAGCCTCCTACAGCAGGAAGAGTGGAGCCCATCAGCTTATGCTGGGACCACACTTAGTTACCAACATTTGAACCTGTTGAGAGATAAGCCAGGGTCCAGCATGCTGGGGGTCCTCTGCCTTTCTCTCCACATATTTAACTACAGAATCCTGACTAGCTTGAAATCTTTAATGTTACATAAGTGCTCAAAACAGCCACCGCATCCTTTCCCATTTCCCCTAGGATGCCTGCCAGGAAAAGAGAATAAAAGAGAGGGGCAGGAACAAATTCAATCAGTCATAGAATCATAGAATATCAGGGTTGGAAGGGACCTCAGGAGGTCATCAAATCCAACCCCCTGCTCAAAGCAGGACCAATCCCCAACTAAATCATCCCAGCCAGGGCTTTGTCAAGCCAGGCCTTAAAAACCTCTAAGGAAGGAGATTCCACCACCTCCCTAGGTAACGCATTCCAGTGCTTCACCACCCTCCTAGTGAAAAAGTTTTTTTCTAATATCCAATAATAGTCCTTCAACCCAGAAATTATTTGCTCTTTCTCTTTCCCTTTCCTTATCGCCTTTTTCTCTTCTTCCATCTCCAACTCATTCTATGCACCTCCATGCAAATTCCTTCCTTTTTTTTAATTAGCAGAGCCAATAAATTGTTGCAGAAACATGTTTATGGGGCTAACTTTACAATTCCCAGAGGAGGCTTGATGTACAAACATTTCGGTGCATAAACTGGCCTTCAGGATTTCATAAAACTAGGGTGAAATCTGACTAGTAAGGTAGCAGTTTAACAACTTCTCCCTTCTTTAGTATTCAAAATCCTCAGTCTCCTAAGTTGCATGGCAGGGGATAATTCTTTTCCAGCACATTCCACCAGGTATCTAGCTAATTATCCCTTTTTCCTTCTTCCCTGTAGAACACTGACTTGATGGGTCAGCTTTTCCAGTTGGTGTTTCCCATGCTGTTTGAAATCAATCAATTGATTTAGGGTAGTCACATTTCTTCCACCACTTTGTGATTGTGATTCTTGCTGCAACTAACAAAAGATAATCAGTTCTTTGTAGAGCTTATACACTGAATTTTGGGGAAAATTCAACAAAAAACAACAAAGTTATTGACCAGATGGCAACCCACAGTCTTCTTAATGGAGTCCCCAACCTTCTTCCAAAACTGTCCCAGCTTTTGGGTAGGTCAACCACGTGTGAAGAAATTCACCTGTTTTGTTACACTCTCTCCGGCCCATCCCTGTACCACAAATGTATGTCTGGCTTTAAGGTGGGGTAGGTACCATTGTTAGAGGATTTTAACATAGTTTTCTTTTATAAGCCTGGATATTGAGGTACAAGGGCCACTTTTCCAAATGCTTTGCCAATCCTCATCCTTAATCTCCATACCCCAGTCTGCATTCCACCTTTTCATGAGCATATTATTTCCTCTAAGTAACAATTTAAAATAACTTTCTATATGGTGGAATGAAGACCCTTGTGTTTCATAGGTGTGATGAGTAATTTCTCAAAGTCTGTTCATTTTCTGCATAGGTTTGACTGTCTAAGAGGGTGGACTGAAAAATGTCTCACTTGCAGGTATAGGTACAATGGAACTTTAGTATCTTTTGCAAACTTCAAACAATCTAAATGTAGCTTCTCTGAATAATTGACCAAATCTTATTATACTGATATACTCCCAGGTGTTAACATTTCCCAGAGTTTTATTAGAGTTGAATTCTGTGATAGCTATTCTTGGCATTAGAGGTGATGGAGATGGGCTTATTTTTTTTGTAAGTGTTATCCCACATCCCTGTTGGTGCCCTCTTAAAAGTTGCTTGATATTATTTTTGGTCTAGAGATTTTCTTTATGAAAGGAATCCTATGTTGTTTCATTGTAAGGTAATGTGTCTGTTTTACTGCTAACCATGGTTATTAGAAACTGGAGGTATCTAACAAAGCAAATTTCCCATTTGGCTTGCCCAGTAATAACACAATATTTGTTAGCGCCAAATCCCCCCTTTTGCCAAGGTCTGTTTAGGCTGGTCTGTTTGATTCTTGGCTTCCTGTGTCCCCAAAATAATATGCTCTTTACCTTCAAGTAGTGTCTACGGGACAATGATTTGGAAGACAAAACTGATGTGAGGAAAGATATTTGTTTTGACTGACCAGTTTTCTGAACCAGTTCTAATGTTACAGCAGCCTGGCCATTTTTTTGACATAAGTATTTCCAGGGATGGCAATGATATGGCCACCCATTTTTAGTTATCTTTATTTTTTAAGGTTTTATGCAGGTCAGGATTTCCATTAATATCCAGCAGATCAGACTTCTATCATACTTCATGTTAAAATCTGAAACTTTACCAAACTTAGAAAACCCAATAACAATGGGAGATTTCGACTATGCCCATGTTGACTGGGTACACGTTTCCTCAGGATGACATACAGAGGTAAAGTTTCTAGAAACCATTAATGACTACTTCTTGGAGCAGCTTGACCTGGAACCCACAAGAGGAGAGGCAATTCTTTGGGATTATTAAGGGTATAGGGGCTATAGAAATCTACGATACTGTTATTGCTAATAGTCCCAGGAAACGAGGGCCCAACCCGGCCAATAGGATAGGAGCCGAAAGCCCAGGCTCTTGAGGAAAGGGGACCAGTGAAGGACACAACATAACTAAGGAGCCCAGAGAGAAGCGATTAGAGTGAACCTGTGATCTTCAGTCCAACACATTTTGCTGCTGTCTCTGTTAAGTTTGTAGGATGGTTCTGGGGTCTGCCTTGTGCTGGCTAAGGACAAAATGATAGGTTGAGAAGTATTTTGTGGCATCTCCTACTAGGGACACCCTCAGGTGTCCCTGTCCCACTGGGTAGCGGGGTGGGGGGACCCCGGACAGCTCCCTTCCCAGTGAAAATCCCTGGCTCACAGTGATGTTACATACACATGAAACAGCAACACCTGTGCCTGACTCCACCTCCTCAGATGGTCACTCGACTAGCCCAGGCTGAGATACAGTGTCCTAGTGGGGACGGGGTGTATATGATAGGTCAATAACTCCTTTCTGTGTTTGATTGCACGGTGCTGCACCCGCTTACTCTCTCCTGGGCTCCACTGTCTTTCCCCAGTTATCGTTCCCCTCCATGGGCCCCAAATCGCTTTCCATCTCTCCTTCCCCAGCAGTGTTAATGTGAGGGGGGAACCAGCTGGCTGTTTCGTGGCGTGCTCCTCCACTCCAGTATGCGGCATGGTATGGCCCTTTGAGGCAAGCTTGGCTCCGCCATGCCCATATCATAGCAACTCTTCCTCAGCCTCACTGATGAGCTGGCAACATAAGAGCTAATTAGTGACCTCAACTGAGTGTAATGGGACTTAATCAGAAAGACTGATCCAAGCTGTGGTAGTGAAGCATGGAGAGCTCTATTTCAATAGAGCTGGGAACTTAGTAGAGAGAAGAAGACCCTGGAGGAAGGAACAAGGGGAGTTCCTCTCTGGAAAGAGCCTGAAGAAGTCAGACTGAGAGACCCACAGAGCAGAATAGGCTCTTTTGGGGGAGATCTGAGCTAGGGCCTATGAGGAGAAGGGAATAGATGAGAAGTGAGAAGCCCAGGGGGGCAAAAGGACTATTAGTTATAAGAGAAACTTTGCAGAAGGGAGCTACCAAACGAAAGCTGTTGGAATGCCTGGGGGAGGGAGACAGTAGGGGGGAATCCTGGTGGGAAAGAAGCAAGGTAAGAAAAACTGTGCAGAGGCCAGGAGAAGGGGCCAGGAAGCAGAGGATTTTAGTGGAGTTTGGGTATTTGATTTGGACTTTGAGTTGGCTCTTTAGTTACCTCAGAAGGAAACTGAACTGTGTGTGACCTGGCTGGAGGGCTGAACCACAGAAGACCTGGAACCAGGTCCAGAGGCAGACAACATGCAGGAGGCACTGGAGCTGAGGATACTGGCGACAGGACACATGGATGCAAGGGGGCGCTTCAAGGGTGACTGTGTGCCACCACAATGCAGAAGTTGTAAGGCCTGAACAAAGCTAACCTTCCAGAAGCCCTACTTAGCCCCATGGAATATATGCTGCTCAGGATCTAAAGAGGAGGCAGCATGCTTTGTTCCATCAGAAACATGAGGCTGTCAGTGCGACCCGCGATCTAACCCATTGTGTTCAGCACAAAGAAATCGCTTTGAAGTTTCCATTGTGCTGCCCCGGACAGTGCAGCATGAATTTGTCACCGTGCCACCCAGCTGTGGCCTGAGAGTGAAGGCATTTAATGACAGGGCGGTGCTCGTGAGAGCAAACCTCTTGTCCATCCATGGACACATGGGTACCACTATGGAATGGAACAAGCCTGGAGTGATAGCCTCACCATTATCCCCCTCCTGTCCCGGCAGTGCCTTAGAGCTCCATCAGTGTGACGCACAGTGCGAAGGGAATGCAATGGGATTTTTATCATTACTACTTACTGAGTGCTGCACGCAGCATAAACTCTACTCCTTGGAGTTTACAGTCTAAGCTAGACTCAGCAACTCACTCTAGACCCATGGTTCTCAAACTTTTGTACTGGTGACCCCTTTCACATAGCAAGCCTCTGAGTGTGACCTCCCGTATAAATTAAAAACACTTTTTTATATATTTAACACCATTATAAATGCTGGAGGCAAAGCGGGGTTTGCGGTGGAGGCTGACAGCTCACGACCCCCCATGTAATAACCTTGCGACCCTCTGAGGGGTCCCGACCCCCTGTTTGAGAACCCCTGCTCTAGACAAACAAGTGACATTTCAAGGCAGTATGGAGATTTTATTTCTTCATTAGATATTAGTTTAGGCAAGAATTTTTATAAGGGTTCATTTTAATAGGAAAGCTCAAAACCAAATTGCAGCCTAAGCTCATGGAAACACTGCAGGCCGCACCGAGTGATTGTCACAAATTACAAGAGACTTTTAGTGGGTTTAAAAATTATAGCAAATACTAAATATATAGATCCCCACACAGAGGCTCCATCCACGCCGCTCTTTTTGCATGTTCTGAAAATGAAAGACAAACAATTTTGCTATTGGCACCTGCTTTGCTCTCCCCAGCGGCTCCGTTTTAGTGCCACGAGCAGGTGTAAGAGCAGATTTCAGTATTAATCATCCACATTAGTGAGCGTCCATATTGAACTCGCAATTCCATAACGTATCAGCTGAGGGCTGGTGAAATGTTATTTTCTGGTATTTGCTGTGGATGAGAAGGAGCTGATGCTGTTGGGTGAGAAATTCCAAACCTGGAGGGAGGGGTTCCCTTTCCCCCCCAGCCAGAATGTGAATTGTGGGCAAAACTGGGAATGTCCCAGAATGGCCCATTGGAAAAGGCTAAGATGTTCCATCAATGAGTTTATTATCCGTCTCCCTTATGAAAGCAGCTGTTAAAGGGATGTCCATTCGATGAATATAACATTGTTGAGAATGTTTAAAATAAGCCCTTATCCATTTGGAATCCCCCCTCCACACACCAATAGAAAGCCATTCCCTTCTGCGTTGCAATGGGGTGACCCTGCTGAAGCCAAAGGTGTAAGAGGATGGATCAGCCAGGGTGGCTTGAAGTCAATGAGAGGAGAATTTGACCTGGAATTTGTCACAGGGCCTTGACTCAGCTGGAGTGCTGTTCTCTGGCTGTTCTGGTCTAAGGTTAACAGCTCCAGCAATTGAATGGCCCTCCCCAGGCCGTGAAGGTCAGGTGACTGAGGTGAGGCACACGGGAAGGCTGGCCTAATAGTCACAGCGCTGGCCTGGAACTCAAGGAAGTTCCTCTCTACAGAGTCTAGCTGCAGGGTCACTGTGAGGTCTGAGGGAGAGAACAATGAGGGATGATGGCAGAGGTGTCATGTAGACTCTTCTCCCCAAAGGCACTGGCCTTTTTTTGCTGCAGTTTCACCACGGTGCTTGCCCGACCTCACAACATGGGGATGGACCCAGTGACTCCATCCTGTCCCGAGCTCAGGGCGTGTGTCATGCTGTCCCTGCACTACATAGCCTCCGCTTATTAATTGATGTCACTGCTGAATGCAAGCCCCAAGCAGAGGGCTCTTACCTCAGCCCAGTAGATGGGGACATCGCTGCATAGGAGGTTCAGAGAGGTGCCCAGGGTCGTGCGGTCGGCCAGCTGCCTCTCGCGGAAGCTGTAAGACATACTGTTGTCTCCTGGGACCTGCTGGGAAACAAAGCGAAACTGTTTACATTGGCATGAAACTGAAATTAAATTTTAGAATAAAAACAAATATTCCAGAGCTGATTGGAGCTGCCCAGTCCCAGAAATTCCCTGAGAACTCTCACTGCTTTGATTTTAGTCAGTAAAATTCCTTGTAGAGACCCCAGAGAAGGGGCCACGTGCCAGCTAGTATCTGGACCTTCTCTGGCCAAGCCGGCACACTCTTCTACTGCACTCACCTGGGTGGCGAAGTTCTCAATTCTCTGAGTAATTTCGGCCAGGCTGGGTATGGCGACCTTATCCATCTTCACAACCAAACATTTCCTTCTGTCCTGAACCCGGAAGCCAATGAGACTCTGGAAGGCAATGGGGAGAAAGATTGGCTGCACAAGTCAAGACAAAGGGTATGTCTACTCTGCAACATAAGTCTGTGCTTGAGCCTGGACTCAAGCCTAACCCCCCTCGTGTCTACACTGCAGTTGCGCTGACCCAGAGCTTGGACCCAAGATCTGAGGACTGTCCAAGCTCGAGTTAAGCCGGGACCCAGGGCTCTGTGGCTTTGCAGTATAGACACAGCCCCACTTGACTCGGGTCCCAGGAGTCAGACGGAAGTATCCCACAATTCCATGGGACAATTTCCTTAGTCCTCTCTAGCTCAACGACCTGCAATCCACTCTATTGAAAATGGAAGCCACCCCCCATTGCGAACGGCAGCAGCTCCGGTCAGCAGAACCCATTCTTTTCTGATCACCCATCTGCAAGCACACTGTCAGAGAGCCTCCTGGGTTGGCAATGGAGAGCGAACAGATCAAGCCTTTTGCAAATGAGCAGGGCAGGCAGTAAAGTTTTCATACAGTGTACCCCAGTCCTAGGGCTAGAGTGGCGACATTTCAGCGTGGGGGTGGGGAGATGCTAGGGATACCATTACTTTGACTTGGGTCTGCACCCTGCAGTGTGGATGTCAGAGCCATAGGTTTTAGCAAGGCTTAGAAAAGTCTTAAGGTAGGGTTAAAATACAATATAGATGCCCAAGCCCAGGGTTCCCTAACACGAGTCAGCTGACTCAAGTCCCACTAGCCATAGGCTTGCATTTCAGTGTAGACACACCCCCATGGCATTTGGTGCATGAACCCACTGTGCATCAGTGTGTGGGAAATGGGTGGGGGGATGTGCCAGTGAGGGGAGCGGGAGGAGTGTGCAGGTCAGCAGCGTGGCTGCCAATGAGCTATTACAGCACCACAGTGGAGGCCTTGGGGGCTTGAATGTGAAAGGCTAGACCGGGGTGTCAAATGCCTGGCCCATGGGCCAGCTCCAGCTCCCAGCATGAACACCTCACTCTTCCCACATTCACTGTGATTCAGGAGGGCCAGAGACCTGAGTGGACATGGCTGAGGAGAGCTTGTGTCTGATTGGCCACAGGCAACTGGGCCCCTTCCCCTCCTGAGCGGTTGCCACCAGCGCCCCACAGCCTGAGCTCAAAGAGAGCTCCTTCCCTACCCATCGCCCTCCTTGTTCCCATGACTGCCAGGCCCCAACAGCACGAGGCTGAGGAGAGCAGCTGCTGATCTGCCTCCATCACTGCTTCACGCTGCTCTCAGCAGCCCAGCCGCAGGGGAGAGTCTCCTTCTCCCTCGCGCCTGCTGGCCACCACTGAGCCCTGTGCACCAGGACCCAAAGGTGGGGGAGCAAGTGCCTGGAGGGGAAATGGAAGAGGAGGCCAATGTCCAAAGGAAGCTGGTTAAGAGAGAACGGGGCTTGGGGAGGGAGGCATGTGCTCAAGGGGGGCTGAGCTGTGAGAATTCCCACAGAGGGGTGGGTGAGAGGGGGTGGGGAGGACAGGAAGTGCCCAAGGGGTGGGGGCTAAGTGTCTTGGTACGTTGGGGGTGGGGGAGAGAAGTGCCCCCAACAGGGTAAGAGACTGAGGGAAGGAAAATCACAAGAAGCTGGAGTTGGGATAGGGTGGGGACTTATGAAGAGAGGCTGAGGGAACTGGGCTTATTTAGTCTGCAGAAGAGAAGAGTGAGGGGGGATTTGATAGCAGCCTTAAACTACCTGAAGGGGGGTTCCAAAGAGGATGGAGCTCGGCTGTTCTCAGTGGTGGCAGATGACAGAACAAGGAGTAATGGTCTCAAGTTGCAGTGGGGGAGGTCTAGGTTGGATATTAGGAAACACTATTTCACC